ATTTATATGTGATCAGTTGTGTGAATATTGAGGAAATATAAAGCTGTTTTCACCAGTAATTCCAAGTTTTCTTGCTGGCTTTGCTCTCTGTTAAGAGTTTTTCCGGTGCAAATACCAATTTTCCACATGATAAGAGTCTGATAAAAAAAAAAAAAGATTAAAACTACTTTAAATTAAGTAACTGGGTTTACCTGTTAAATTAGATGAACACGGTTGTAATCCACTATAATCCGAATCCTACTGTAATCCTACTCCTTTATTAAATTGAAGTAAAAAGAAATGGAATCGACGTTATCAACCTCAAAACAACGGCAGTTCCAATTCGCCACTGTACTCTTAAACACGCCTACTTATGGAGAACACGTAGCTGATTGGCTAAAAGAAGTGTCACTCAAGCCAACGGTTTCGCGTTTGTTGATGCTGCTCTGATAGTTCCTTCCTGTTGCAGAGCTGCAGCTACTCTGAGCTGGGCGTTTTCTAATCTGAAGGTGAGCACATAAGAATTCATAGTCATTTTCAATGGGCATGTCTAATTTCATATTCATTTAGATTGATAATTAATCGATACAGATAAGGATGTTTTGTGCGTGCACTGTGCGATGTCATTAAGACATGCTAACAGGCTAGTTCAGTTGTGTTCAATATTTAGATACTTATACATTTTAGCCTGTGAATGCGATATTTTTTTTAAACTATTTTAGAGTTTGAAAATAGGAGTTGGTCAGACCATTTGTTAAATTAGCATTGACATTTAGTTCATGACCCTTAACCTTTCAGTTCTAATCTCCAGTTTGGTTATGTATGTATATATAGTTTATTATATCTTAATATCTTCTTGCCTTCTAGTTCCATTTTGCAGATAGGCAATAATGAAGTTTACAATTTTTGATTAAATAACAATCGAGCAGTTGAAAATTTGCTATATAGTACATATCTGAATATGCATCACTTTCAGGCTTCTGTACAGTTTCTTCTGAATGTCCAAATACAAACTCTTCCTTCTCCGACATGGGGAGGGGGCCTGGAACAAGGAGAACCGCTTCTGCAGCTGGGTTGACCAGAAACTGAGCGAGAACGGGGTGGTGGAAGCCCAAGAATGCGGCAGACTCCTGAAAGAGCAGGGGTACCAATTCGACCAGGTTTTTACCTCCATACTGAGCCGCTCCATCCAGACGGCCTGGTTGGTGCTGGAGGCCATGGGACACGAGTGGGTCCCAGTCACCAAATCCTGGAGGTTAAACGAACGGCATTACGGTGCCCTGATTGGCCTCAATCGGGCCGAGATGGCGTTGAACCATGGCGAGGAGCAGGTTAAATTGTGGAGGCGAAGCTATGACATCACGCCGCCCCCCATTGATGAGTCACATCCCTATTATGCTGAAATTTACAATGACCGCCGATACAGTACGTGTGACGTTCCAAAAGAGGAACTGCCCAAAAGGGAAAGTCTAAAGGAAGTGTTGGACAGACTTCTTCCTTACTGGAATGACGTCATTGTACCGGTGATCAAGAGTGGCCAAACGGTCCTCATCTCTGCACATGGCAACAGCTGCAGGGCTTTGCTTAAACATTTGGAAGGTGAAACATATTTGTTTTTAAATTCTGTCATCATTTACTCATCATCTTGTCATTTGCTGGCTTTTTCCTTCTGTGGAATGATTTATTTTGCTGTTGTTTTATTTTTTGGCCCGCACAATGCAAGTCAATTTGGTTTAGTGTTGTTTGAACCCCACTGATTTTCATTTTATGAACAAAAACAGTTGAAACATTCTTCAAATATCTTCTCAAACTCTTTCAAACTGAGTTATATAATGCTTCTAAAGGCCGCTGAGTTAAAATTACAAGGATACTATTGACTGTAACCCTTGACCTTAAAGCACTTGGAAGGTTATCACAAGGGGTCAAAAGTGACAGTTAAAACATTAATAATGTTGCAAAAGTTTGCTATTTTAAGATTACTGCTGTTCTTTATGGACTTTCTATTCCTCAACGAATCTTAAACGAGTTTCCACATGCATGTATCAAGCAGCACAACTGTTTTCAACATTCATAATTATAAGGAATGTTTCTTGAGCAACAAATCGGCATTTTAGAATGATTTCTAAAGGATCATGTGACACTGAAGAATGGAGTATGATGCTGAAAATGTAGTGTTGCATCACAGGAATAAGTTCCATTTTAAAATAGTAAACCGTTATTTTAAATTGTAATATTTCTCTTTAAATATCATCAGTAACGACTCGTATAGAGAGTGGATAGTAATACTAATGAAGTTGGTATTAAAACTTAAACCTTAAATATTTTAATATTCTATTTACACACTCTTGCTGTCTTTCTCAACAGATATATCAGAAACAGACATTGTGAATGTAACGCTGCCCACTGGAGTACCAGTCTTGCTGGAGCTTGATGAAGATCTTCGACCGGTCAAGCCCCGTCAGCTTCTGGGCGACCAGGCCAAAATAGAGGCAGCCATCAAAAAGGTGGAGGATCAAGGGAAGGCTAATGCACAAAATAAATAAGGATTTTATTGGTGAAAATGCCAGAATCATTCAGATAGGAACTGTTCAAACAGAAAGATTATTAGTCAGTCATGAAGCACCTGGTAAAGATAGTTTGGTCACATACTGTAGGGTGTGTCTGAGGTAGACTGGTTTAGTGGTATTTTAGGAATCATGAAGAGTTAGTCAATATTTTGAATTCAAGCACTGGTTACTGATCCAAAATGCACACAATTTTGTCATAGCAAGAGGTCTGTAGACCAAATAATAATGAAATAGATGTAATATTTAAAATTATCATTTAATAATGTGTCATTTTTTTGTTAGCTCTTGCTTAGTTTTTCAATGGATTTGTTGTGGCCATGGAAAACCAGTGGCGCCTTCCTTTGGGCGAAAAATTGGATCCATCAGTTGTGTTCTAATAGAATTTCGTATTAAAGGTCAACATATGCTTTTAACCATTTCTGTATTTAAAAACTACCAAACAAGAGTTTAGGGTCAGTAAAAAGTCACTTAAGCTCACCAAGGCTGCATTTATTTGATCAAAAATACAGTAATAATCTTAATATATTTTAAACAGTAATTTCATTGTCAGATGATTCCGAAATTATTCTAATAATCTGATTTGTTATTTAAGGAACATTTATTATCAATGTTGAAAGCAGTTGTACTGCTTAACATTTTTGTGAAAACCATGATGCATTTTTTTTTCTTTGATGGATAGAATGTTTAAAAGAACAGCATTTATTTGAAGTAGAGTTTTTGTAACAATGTAAAAGTCTTTACTGTCACTTTTGATCAATTTAATGCAGTCTTGCTGGGGGGAAAAAAGTAATTTCTTTAAAAAAAAAAAAAATCCTACTGACCTTGAACTTCTGAACTGTAGTGTATATAGATAAACCCAACTGGAATGGAATCATTCCAAAAATGAATAAATAAATAATAGTAAAAACAAACATATTATTCACTCCACTGTCTGGACTTCCAAGCCACAGATTAAATCTAATCTTACTGAATTCATATTTATATTCCACAAATCAGGTTTATTAAGCTTACTATTTAAGACTTCATTGGATGTCTGAAGGATAATTATAAATTATTTAAAATATTGTGTGTTAAATAGTACTGTTAGCATACTTTATACAGTATTTTAAAACATTCTTTTAAAGGGACATTTTGTTTTTATCTAAAATATTTATTAACAGAGATAATGTGTTAAGACTAAGTTATGAATTTATCATGCACTGCCAAACGCGACCCACACTAGCTCTTTTGTATCTCATTCTTTTCTCCACCAATGTTTACCAACTCAAATGCAAAGACAAACCAGTCTTACTGGTGAGTAAAATCTAGACACAGTTGTGGTTTAGTGTCTGTGCAGTGTGCACTGTAATACCTCTGTTTGTTTTTGTGTATTTAATGTTGCTGAACACTGTACTGTATCTGTAGAGAAATGTTATGTGTGTGTTGTTTTTGTTATAATGGCCATAATGGCTTTCACTGTTACATATCTACATGTTTGACCCCCGTTATGGCACATTATAACTCACCTAATGTGGTTTTACTTTCTTTTCCACCACCCAGAAGCACTGGTCTGCTGGGTTTAGCACATCCCTGAAGCATTTTCCTGAGAGAATCATATATAAAAATAAAGATTAGATATAAAAGTGTATTAAATGATGTGTGTGAAAAAGTATAAAACACCTATTAACCAGGAGGAGGTGCTACAGTGTTATCTGAGAAGACATTTCTCCAGTGGAACAGATGTTGATCTTAATATAATAGCGGTGGATGATAAGTTTGTTTTTACACAAAGCACTAATGACATAGTGAAACTGATTTAGGTTATTCAGTAGGATGTAGCACTTGGCAGACAATATATATTCACTAAACCTAATAGTTCACATTTGTTTTGTTGAGCTGGAATGTTTGAAAAGAAGCACTAAAACATGTTCTCATGGTCTTTAATGTCCTCTCAGAAGAATATACATTTGAACACATTATATGCTCTTGGGAAAACGTGCCACATCCATCTCCCTCAAAGCTTATTAAAAAATAATGTGATTTTCATTGAGTTTATTTGCTGATGCTATGAAGACGTGACTGGACAGGCTGTTTCTGATTACACTTGATATTTTTCATGGACTGTGTTCTGAAACATGGATTTCACAGTCCTAACTTTAAAACATGGTCTCGAAACAGTAGAAAAACATCACGGGAATCTTAACTGTAGAAACTCTGCCAAGGGTCCAATTTGAGAACTGTTCAGTTTGGCTGAAGACAAGAACGGCCTGGACACAATGTAGCCTCGTCTTCACTGCCAGTCTGACACCGGTTTCTTTTAAAATGGTTATGGTTAGGACCTTAGCATGCCAATAGTTCAGGGACGTTACTGCAACATCTATTATTTTCTTGATGTGGCTGTAAACTATCCTAATTGATGTTCACTATTGCTCAACCAGGACAAACTTACACAGTAACTTTACACCATGCAAGCACATTTACAAAGCTGCAAAACACCATTTCAAACCAAAATATCAAAGTTGCTACAGTTATTGTTAATGTTAACTAATGAAACCATTGCAATTAAAAAGTTGTTATACAATTTTTGTGATTTTATTATAACATTTTTATTATATTATTTTTATTTAATTAGAATTGTAGGATAGGTGCAGACACATTAAAAAAATTCACAGGCATAAGCAATATATTAAGTACAACTTGCACAGACACTTTCGAGTTTTGAAAACTTTTTTTTCCTTTCAGAATGCGCAGTTGCATGGATTCCTATAGAAATGACTGGGTTTTGTCCATGACAATTTTACCAAACAACAGTAAGATGTGATCACAAAATAACTTGGGAGTATGGCAGAAGCTTTTTACCCTGCAATATTTTATGACACTGTAACTAATAGTAGTTAAATGTGAAAAAAAATGTATGATAAAATTAAATACACACAACAAAAATAAACGAAAAAGCAGACAATTTGTTGCAGTCTAGTTAACAAAAATCACAAAAGTATTTTTTTTAACAATAAGCTGCATGGAGCTGCAAAAACAACCAAGCAATTACACTTTTATAAAAGTACACTGACTCAAAACAAACAAAAGTAAACAAATTAACACTGACTCAAAATAGCCTACAACAAAACAAACTTAAATCAGTGTAAAGCGGTTGTAGAGACTAGCAAACCATCTCGTTTTCTTTGTCCTCAGTAGGGTCAGTGTAACTTCATTGTAATTAGAATTTTTTGAGCTTGCTGATTTTAAAAACTTGTTGGTTTAACACAAGATGTTATTTTTTGACTAAGCTGCGAAGCTGCTCTGTTGGGGGCGATATCAGATAGGAGTGTGACATTGATCTATTAGGCTACTTATGGATGGAGGGCAGCGTTGGAAGACTGCTGCCCAATGCGTTGAAGTGATGGAGCTCGGCAGAGGCGGAGTCTGAACCGCTGCACATTTGATCAAATGTAGAGGCACGACTCGTGTAATTCCTGCATTGCCCTTTCAGCAGCACGAGCACACTTCAAAACTAAAGTGGACAGCGCGCTGAAACCCTCCAGTTCGTTACAGGTAAGGGTTACAAGTCCTTCAAATCAACCTTTGAAAATCTTTCTTAATTGAAATAGACATGCTTTTATTTAAAATTATTCTTGTTCACAAATTCATCACATGCTGCTGATGGCAACATCATTTACTGGAATTAAATGTGTTGGCAGCGCAAGAGTCTTGCGGTGGACTAATGAATTGCATGTTGAAAATGCTGTTTTCACCTGCCACTTGGTCCCTTGTCAAGAACATCTGTATACTTCCTTTGCTTTTAAATTACCGTCCAAGTTAATTGGAGAGTCTCCCACAAATTCACGAACTACTAGTTGTTTTTAGAATGAGCTCGTGCAGCCTTTGGATCTTTACAATGAGTTTCAGTGCGCATGTAACGGCCAGCAGTAACGTTACACCTGCATCAATACTTCAAAACATTTCCTGCTCGCTGCGTGCTATTAGAAGACACACTTTCGAAATTAAGCAAATCACGTTAAGCTACTTCTACCATCATAACATGAACTTAGTACTTTCTTCTTTTAACACGCACATATACGAAACCACTCTGACCGTGCACTCCTCCTCACAGATTCATTAAGAACCAGTGAACGTTCATCAATGATAGTTATCCGTGATTTAATCACAGTTCGCTACCCGATTCACGCTCAAAGGAGTGCACTATCACTCATCATCGTGGTTTAGGAGACGCAACTCTTTCGAAACACATTTCCTAGTTAAGAACTATAGAAATGATCCCTGAAAGTATAGTCTTGACTCCTCAGCCTGCTCCGCGGGAAACCCGTCCGCGCGAACATGAGGCTCAGTGACGGTGCGGCGCGATGACGTCACAGCGGCGACTTTAAAGCGATGAAAAAAACAACGCGCCAAACTCCTCGCGCGCAGAGGCCACATCAGTATAGAGCACGGCCCATGCTTAAAGACTGCACACATGCAACGTATAAAGATGTACACGGATTTATTTGATAACGTTAAAAGTGACTTGAGTATTTTGTGGTGAAGCAGCGGACATCTTGTATCGAATTCCATCAACCCTTATCTTTTTGCGACGATACATTCATTATTATATGTTTAAGCAAACTGTAACTACTAAATGTTATTTCGCTCAATAAAGCATGTGAAACATAAAACGTAAGATGCGCATAATGTAATTACCCACAATCCTCCTCGGTGTCAACCTTCCTTTTCGTGGTGAGCAGGCTGTATTTGTCATGCGTGTTAAACCAAGGACGCTAAGGTTAATAAAACGCCATTTGAAGATTGTAATACATATCAGTATATCTGAATTGTAGAGGGAACAACATATACATGTTGAATGCACATGTTGGTGCTTCAAATAACTGGTCATTATAAGTCCTGTCATGCAACTCGACTTCAAGCATCGTCCGGGATGGAAATCAACCTGCAGTTACTTGTTTAAACCACTGCTAGGTGTTGTCTATAAACTGCAGTAGAGGGATGCGGGGGCTAGATGTCACATTTTTTACAACATACAGTACAGTGAATATACCAGGAGTAGGTTGCTGTATAGTATAGACGTTAAAGTCTTGGAATAAGGCTTTTGAACATTTCCATGCACCGTAATTTCCCAGAAGAATAGAAACACATTTGCCAATAACGAGGCATGTTGTCACGCTGTATGGGGTAAGTTGTCACAACTAAACTTGCCACTGAGCAAACCTTTATACTTAAAAAAAGCAAAAAAAAATCACAAGTATATTAATTGTTTCAATTATTTTACTACTACTACCAATAATAATAGTAATACAAAGTTATTGGTAATAAAGGTTGCGATACTTTTTTATTTTTTTACTAAAAATAGTCAAATATATTTAATTTAAAGAAAAAAATATATATATTTGTTTTTTAATTCTTAAAACAAAACAATATTTATAAATAATAATAATCCAAAATAAAATAATGATTATATATAAAATATATAATAATGATTTAATAGTAAGCCAAAGTACATTTCTTCATAATAAATATTTATAAATATT